GCTTCGTGTCCGCTCTCCGCTCACGCTCTCGAACCCAATCAAATTTGCCGCCAACGCTATTACGATGACTTCGCTCCGGCAGGTCCACGTCGCTGCCTTTAGGAGCGTTGGAAGGCAACCTTTGGCAAAATCTTTGCTTTCGTACATGTGCTGGAAAAATAGACTCCCCTTCCCCTATTTCCCCTGAAACGCAAATTCATTTTTTTTCCTTTTGTCTTTTATCTTTTTTTTTTCTTTCTTTTTTCTTTCTCGACCATGCTCCTTCCCCTCCCCTGCGCGTATACTCTTTTTAGGGGGAATGCTAATCAACCTAAGAGTTTTAAAGATTGGATTTGCTGACTTTATGCAAAGAAGTTCGAGAGAAAATTTATTTTTGAAGTTTTAGTTTCGCAAAGGCTTATTGAGCAGAGATAAAAGAACACAGCGTAAGATAGTTACTGAAGGACTAGGTGAGGATTTTGTGGACATCGAAGTTCATCAGAGAAGCAGAACAGAGGTTGTGCCGTAGGAAACTGCTTTTCTTGATGGTGATGATCACAGAAACAATGAATGGAACCTTTTATGGTGATTATATATGATGCGGATTCAGCGTGAATTAAATAGAGATTGGTGTACTGATCTGCATGCAACATCAGTGAAATAGAACGAGGATGTAATTGCAGTAAAGCTGGAGCAACTGTTATGACGATGATGGCAAATGGAAATCTTTTATGGTGACTGAACATAGTGTGAATATGCACTTGTCATGTATTATTGAAATCAACGGAGCGCCAACATTATATACGGCCATTTTGAACTAAAACTTGAAGCAATTAATATTCCTAACCTTTGTTTACTTGCTAGATGTGTAAACAACTACTATGTCTTCATTTTGCACTCTCGGGAATAATATTCACAAAAGTTCTAAGTGTTCGCTATATACTGTAATAAATGAATATATGAATGTACGAATAAATTAATAGATAGATAAATGAATAATAAATGGAGCTTTGTAAACGATCAAAGGTAATGTATGCCAACTTCTCTCAGATTTAATAAGAATATTCACAAAAGGATCTCAATAGAATATGCATTATAGGAACAAACATACTATGTTGTAATATATGAGTCATTAAATGAATAAACGAATAATAAATGAAGGTTTGCAATCGCTCAAATGAGCTGCAAATCAAACTCCTTAGATTAAAAACCCTCCAATGGCCTCCAAATGGGTCTCCTGGAAATTAGCGTCCGGTTAGTACACAACATAATGGTTCAAGCGCCATCCATCAAGGGCGAAATCGTGCAACTAAAGCCTGCAATTGACGTTCCCGGAAGACTTGCAAGGGAAACACCTCGCCTGCAGAAACACATTCGTGCGACCATGCCTACGTAACAGCTTCCCTTCCGGCTTTTAGATAAATGATTTCCTAATTAATGCTTATAGCGTTGCATGAGGAATTATTCTATTAGCACCAGTAAATAGTGGTAAAGATATCCGTGTCTTTCTTTACAAATAAAACAGGCCAGGTTTACCCTAGGCCTCCCAAGAACGCTGAAGCCTGAAGTCGTGCCTATGACAAGCCTTTCAGCCGAGGAAATGAGCTGAAGGGTGAAATTCAGGTGGAAATCACTTCTCAGAAAGGTCTTACGGTTTTCTCCCTTTCATCATGTCTCCCTCATTAGTTGGAAAGCTTTCAGACTTGCGAAAAGAAATGAATCGGGAAAATGTGTTAAAAATGTGACCGTTGTAATAATGATGATGGTAATGATAGGAGTGATAACTGAAGATGATAATGATGAAGATGATGACGATGATGATTATAATAATAATCTTAATGATAATGGAAATGATACTAATTGCGATGAAAATAATTCTATTCTCTCCTCATTATTGGTAAAAAATGCTAAAAATAAAGATGACAATAATGATAACAAATATTATGATGAAAATGACGATATTGATAATGAAAACAAGGATAATGATAATGAAGATAAATATAAAGATAATAATAGTGATAATGTAATAATAGTCATGATAATAATAAAAGCAACTATAATAATAATGATGATGATAATAATGATGATAAGGAGAATGATAATAATAGTAATAATGATAATGATGATGATAAAGATGATGATGATAATAATAATAATAACAATAATGTTAATAATCATAATATTTTTAATAATAGTAATAATAATAATAATAATAATAATAATAATAATAATAATAATAATAATAATAAATAATAATAACAATAATGGTAACAATAATAATAATAATGATAATAACAATGATAATAATAATAATGAAAATTATAATGATGACAATAATAATAATAACAATAATAATAATGATAATTATAACAATAATAAAAATGATGATGATGATAATGATGATGATGATAATGATAATAGTAATAATGATAATAATAATAATAATAATAATAATAATAATAATAATAATAATAATAATAATAATAATAATAATAACAATAATGATAATAATAATAATAATAATAACAATAATAATAGCAATAATGGTAATAATGATAATGGTAATAATAATGATAATGATAATAATAATGGTAGTAATAATAATGATGATAATTATAATAGTAATAACAATAATAATAACAATAATGGTAATAATGATAATGATAATAATAATGGTAGTAATAATAATGATGATAA